CCCCCCCCCCCCCCCCGCCGCTCCTCCCCGCCCCGGCCCCGCCGCCTCAGCGGAGGTGGGAGCGGGCCTCCTCCTGGCCTGCAGGGGGCGCGCCAGGCCCGCCCTGCCACACCGGAAGGAGCCCTGTGCCGCGCCGTGCCGCGCCCCCGTCCCCGCCCCTCCAACATCCAGGCGCCCCATTGGCTGAGCTGGTTGCTGCCGCCCGGTCAGGTGGGCGGTGGCGGCGCCATGGCGGATCGGTTAACGCAGCTGCAGGACGCCGTCAACTCGGTGAGGCGAGCGCTGATCTCTTCTCTCCCCCGACGTCCGTCGTTCTTCTTACCGGCGGGGGGGGGCGGGCGGGGGGGGCGGGGGCGTGGGTGGTGTGTGCTGTGGTCGTCCCCCCCCGCCTCTACGGCCTGTGCCGCTGCGCCCAGGCCTGGCCGTTGTTGGCCGTTGGGCGTGTGAGGGGCTGCGATCCCTTTCCCGGTCCCCTGCCCGCAGCGCCGAGCGCTGGCAGGGGGGGCATCGCCACTGGCCGTCACGGGCTGCGGGGGTGTGCGCCCACCTGACGGCGGGGTGTGGGTGGGCTGCTGCGTGGCGTCCACTGGGACGCAAAAATGAAATTGAAATAGCTTTAGCGGTGACATAAATTAACGCTCTCTTTACTGCTTGCAGCTCGCAGACCAGTTCTGTAATGCCATTGGAGTGTTGCAGCAGTGTGGCCCCCCAGCCTCTTTCAGCAACATTCAGACAGCAATAAACAAAGATCAGCCTGCTAATCCAACGGAAGGCAAGTCTGTTTTTCTGCATGTCCTAACAAAATGTGAACATGTTCTGATGTAGCACATCTATGATACAAAATCTGTACTCTATTTCATGCTCAACAAACAATTCCACCAGTAACTGGAGGAGTGATTGCATTTAAGTCATGAATTGGTGTCAGCTGCACTTGCTGCATAAGATTGTGATAGTGGAAATGCAATTTTAAGTGTTAAGTAAGCATTACAATGTATTTCTTGCGTGGGTTTCTTTGCACAAATACAATAGCTCTACAGATATAAACCATTTTAATAAGACTGCTGCAAGAGGTTGTTAGTGAGTTGTTCATTACTTCCAAGAAATCTCTTCAGAAAGAATTAGCATTAGTTTTATGAAATCATGTATGAGTTTAAAATTCTCCGTGTCATAACTTTTTAATTATTTGTGTTTCTCCATGTATCATCTGATTATGTAATTAATTAAGGAATAATGTCACATCAGATCTCCCCATTGGCATTTGTGGTTTTGTTGCTGGCTGTTTTGTTTTTGGGTTTGGGTTGTTCTTTTTTGAGAGACAAGAAACTGATCTAAGACACTGAACTTGGCAAGCAAACTAAAAGTTCTCCCTGATTTGATAGTTTCAAGCTAGTATTTAAATAACCATGTTATTCTACTCCTGAATCTTTTTTCTTCTTTTTTTTTTTTTTTTTTTTATCCTGAGAAAATTTTACGTGTATCTTGTATGAGATTAGGTTTGTCTATTAGGATGTCAGGGGAGGCTGGTTTGGAGAGCAGCAATGCACTTTCTGGGACAGTCGAATAGTAGTTCTTCATTGGTCTGTGGTGGTCTGCTCTCTGATACTGGAATTAGTTGGAAGAGCCAGCTGAAAGACTTGGTTGCTTCCTCATCTTACCTGCTGCTGTCCCAGGTGCCGGCATCAGCATGGTGGCAGGAGCTAGAGGCTTTGTTAAGGTCTTAAAATGATAGGTCATGACTGACTTCTCTTTTGATTTTTCTTTTTCTAAAATTCTGAATGTAGTGAGTTCAGTGAAATCATACAGCCACGTTAGCAGTGCTGATGAGGCAAAACAAAACTACCAGTTATGTTTCTTTAGATATTTAAAGTCTTAATAAGAAGGTCTTAAAACTCTTTACAGGTAAACCCTGTGGTGACTCTGAGTAAGCTTTAAATGGATATGTTGGTTTTGTTGTTTGTGTTTTTTGTGGTTTTTTTTTAAGTTAAAGTTAAGTGTACCTTTGAGAATGCCACTGTCTTCTATAGATTTTTGCCATTAGAAAGTATTTTCTCTCTTGCTTCCACAAATCGTTCATGAACCAAGCAGCATAAACAAATATGTAAGATCTTAAATTATAAATTGAAAAAGGCTGTTTCAATATTTTAGCGGTAGTAATGGAATTAATTCAAATTGAATGGACACAATTCCATATGGAAAGGTTTTGTTCCTGGCTTATGGTGCCTTTTATTAGAAGTCCATGCAGTTCTTTCACTGATATAGCAGTGAAAATTAAGGTCTGTTTTAAACTTCCAATCCTTTTCCATTTCTCAGGGGCAATTTAACTTTTTCTGTGGCTGAATAGGAATTTTTTTTTTAATTAAATACCTCAAATTCTTTCACTAATAATGTGTTGCTTAACATGATCTAAATAATCCATCTATTTGAATCACTACCTTTACATCATTTCTAGTGTTCTTTTTTTGTCTAGTGGCAGATTTCAAGGCAAGGATTGAAAAGTTAAATGAGTTTCTAGCTACTTCTCAATACTTAATGTAGTGACTAGGACACTTAATACTGGTATTAGTGATTTCTTAACTGGCTTACCATGATGGAGTTCTAACTGTTTTCTCAGTTGTACAAAGCCCAGCCCTTGTATAACTGGTTACCTTGTTTAATCTAGGATTGGAATCAAACTACCTTCATCTTCTAATATGGTTGAGTTCTCGTCAGTTGTGATACTGTTGTTTTCTTCACGTAGGAGAATTTTTAACACCTGCATACTTGAAGTCTGTAGAACTTTCTGTGCTGTGTATGCAGAATTGTGCTTATTTCTAACAATGTACTGAGTAGGCTGACTTTTCCTTTTTAAAGAGTACGCCCAACTGTTTGCCGCATTGATTGCACGAACTGCGAAAGATATTGATGTTCTGATAGATTCCCTGCCTAGTGAAGAATCAACAGCAGCTTTGCAGGTAAGAGTGTTCTTAATTAAAGTATCAAAACGTAACTGAAGGCAAACTTCTTCCTTTTTTTAAACATATTTTTTTCTCTCTAGGCCGTGTAATCTTGAAAACTGACTTTAATGTAAGCCTGAATTTTTCATAAGGGTAGCCTGTGAGTACTTCATAGGCTTAGTGGAAATACTGAAGTGGCACCTAGTTCTAAATAAGGTTATACACAGTGAGAATATTTTAAACTTACTTTTCTGTTAGAATGTTTTCTAAAAAAAAAAAAAGTGTTTTTATCATAATACCACAATACTGGAAACTGCTACCTGTTTGTTTTTTTTCCCTAGCTGTTCAAATATTAATACAACAGGTGCAACAGTACTGATGCATTGCAGGGTTGTTGTGTTTTCCCTTGGATAATCTTTCATACTCTCTTGCTCATTGGGAGCGTGTTTCATTTTGTAGCTGCAGAGCCAACACTTCACTGAAGCCTGTTGTGTCCTTCCACGATGTTTCTGGTTGGTAAAGGGTTTGCAGCGTATCCTTTAAGTTCTCCAGCTTTGTCACAAAACAGTTCTTTCCCTTTTCAGAAGTTGCCCTTCTTGGGACCAGCCAGCCAAACTGGGTGCTTTTGTTTCTTGCTCCTTCTCTCTTTAGACGAGAGGTACTCTAGGAAGAGCGAGCAGGTGCAGCCGGTATCACAACCTCTGTTCCCTGCCGTACAGGAGCTGAACTGCTGCAAACAGCTTGTGAATCCTTTCACAATACTCAGCTGTTTCTCACTCCAAGAAATGCCTTGGATCCACGATTCAAAGAATGCCACTGTGTTGGGGTTTTGGGGATATTTTTTTTTTGCTGTTGCTTCTACAGATCTTGCCTATTAAACAGCATCTATTTTTTTTTTTCTTTTTGACTCTAACTGCTGGATTTACATCAAGTGTTTTCTCTTTAGAATGCAACAAGGGTGCAAAGAGTGCTGTTTCTCTGAGAACCCTGGAACTGCTTTAAGATCACCTGAAGGTTTTACACCTGAGTTGATAATCTGTAACTATTCAAAGGCATTTTACAAAAGACTAGAGGTGCCTGCTGGGCCAAATACAAATTACTTGACAGTGACATCACATTTGGTTTTAAACAGAGGAGGTTGAATTTGGAAATGTTGCTAGTCACAATAAAGGCTGAACATACTAATTGGGCCTGTTAACACCAGCGTAATTTCATGTAACTGCATATTTAATCGCTGAAGACAGCTTTCCTGCTGCAGACAAATTACAGGCTTCTTCCATGACTGAGCAGGGTCTGATCATAGTGACAGCTGATGCAGGGAAAGCAGGGTGCTCCAGAAAGAGGAGCTCGTTATCCAATAGGGGCATGCTTTCCTTCGAGGTGATACTTGAACAGTTTCTTGCTCTGTTAATGCAGAATCTCGTTTCACAAGAATTTCTCATCTTTTCTGTTTGGTGTGGTTTTGAGATAAATTAGCTTAGATTCCATCACTTACTGATTCTGATTTTTATTTGCTGTTGTTTAATTTGGTGCAGTATTAAAGATAAATATCCTGACATTCTTATAAAGACTGTTACGAAGATGCTTGAAATACTCAATACGCAGTACAGGTTTTGTTGAGAAGTGGTAGATACTTGGCTAATAGAGATGTACTTAGGCCGATCGATCTTTTTTTTTTTTTTTTTTTTTAATACTAAGGTTGTCTTGGTATATGTTTCAAATCTGACACTTGTCTTAAATGAAAAAAGGGGCTGCTACACTAATGCCCGACACAATTTACCCGTCCCTTTTGAGTTCCCTTGTGGTGCAGTTGGTAGTACATATTCCGCTCAAATCTGCGGCTTACCTGCAGTCACCTGTTTAACAACTGAGACTGAAGTAATTGAGCTGGATTCTAAATTTCAAACTTTTAGCTTTTGCTATCTTCCTTCTATCTCCCTTCCTCCAAGGGCTATCAAGTCCTTCGTGCATATATTTTATATAAAGACATCAGCGTTGCAGAACAGAAGATGAATATGTGGGTAGAATTTGCCAGTTAGTTTAAGCATGACTTCTTAAGGACCTGTACATAAACCTGGATAACTGCTTTAAAAAATATCCATTTGAAACTATTTTGGTTTGTCTTTTCTGTTATTGAGTTAGAACAAGTCTTTTAGTAGTTTTAAATTTGGTAAATATTTTAAAGTATTAAAATATTTTGAAGTTAAAATGTTTTATTTCACTAAATTTTGTCTAACTGAGAAGCAGTTTGGTTCTGAAACAAAATATTGAAGAAAAAAAGGTTAAATAATACAATTTCATCTGAAATATGCTATTTAACGGAAAGGTTTAAATAAGTTTGCTTACATCTCGCTGAGCAGCTTTCAGTAAGGGAGTGGGGATGGGGATAAATACTCACTTCTCATCAAGAAAAGCTGTGCTGAGCCAAGAGTCATAATATGAAAGAAGGTGACATCTCTGGTGGGGGGGTTGTGTTTACTCAATGTGGATATGCACTGGTTTAGGCTGCACCCTATAACGAGTTGCTTTGAAGTTGCTAGTATGTAATCAGGGGCTAAAGAGAGAACCTTTCTCTTTTCTAGGGAGCACTGAGTGTTCCCTCACCGTCCTTTAGTAGCAAGTCAATTTTGTATTTGAAGATCCTTACTTAGTTTTCTCCCTTTTACTTTCAAGGCTGCTAGTCTGTATCGATTGGAAGAAGAAAATCATGAAGCCGCTGCCCGTCTGGAAGAGGTAGTTTATCGTGGGGATATGCTGCTGGAAAAGATACAGAGTGCGCTGGCAGATATTGCCCAGTCGCAGCTGAAGACGAGAAGCGGCACGCACAGCCAGCCCCTTCCAGACGCGTAGCAGCAGAGGGCAGCGTGCCCCTGCGAAACCGAACTGCGGCGGGGAGGGTTGGAAACACGGCTCTGCACCCACGGGGAGGTGTAACACCCAGCCCCGCTCCTGTGGGACTCTTGAACGCTCTCTCGTCGTCGGTAACAATGTCTTCTGTCAAAGCTCAAGCTGCACATTTTGTATGAGAAACACTTCTACTGCAGAATCGGTGGTTCTGTTCTAGAATTACATGTATTGATGTATGTTTTCTTGACTTAAAATATTAATTTCTGAGCTTTCTTTTCTGTTCATAAATCTGTCTGACTTCAGTCTGATTTGTTATCTTCATTACACAGATCTTAGTCCCTAAAGGGAATTCAGAAGGAAAATATTCTCAGAGTATTTGTGTACTTTGCTCAGTCCTACTTTCAAACTTCAAATATTCTTGGTGTATTTTTTGTAGGGCTCAAACACAGACATGCTTGAATTTGCCAGAGTTCCATGGAGACAGTGCTAGACGATGATGTGAATACAGTGGTGGCCATCTGTTTTAATTAACAGAAATGGTAATCAAACATTTGTATTACTACTTGGCTGGTTTACCACCCTTTACAGAGCAAGTAAAAGGATAAGTAAACTCTAATGTTTGCAGAGTAAGTGTTCTTGCCATTGGCATCTCATTTAAAAAAAAAAAATCAATCTGCAGGTATCTGATATTGGCGTTTATTATTGTTTGTAATTCACAAATGGGTCTTTGACTCCATTATTGCCACTGACACGCTTACTCTAACTTGCTCGTGCCATTTCTCTGCTTCTGCTGATACTCTGCATTCTTGTGGCGACTGGTGAATGCCTCTAAAGCAGACAGTAATGAGGAAGCATTGGATGATTGGGAATAAATTAGCAATGAGGAAACTGAAAATAACTTATTATGTAATGTTGCTTTTCAGTGTAAGCAGTGGCTGCCACGTGAATGCCGTGATCATAAGCAGCAAGAGGCCTGTCATCCCCAACATGCTCTAGAGAGTTTTTTGTTTTTTGTCTTCACACACTGAATAAATTTTTGCCCCTTGTCTTGGGATTCTAGAAATACCAACATCTCTTTTTGTATTTGAAGAAAAAAAAAAAAAACAAAAAAAAAACCAAAACAACACCAGATAATGTAGGGTTCAGTGCTTGAGCTTGGAGTTGAACTGTTAGTAATTTTCTGTATTTTTGAGTTAGCAGCCTTGTATTATGGTAGGATGCTGTTTATTGCCACATAACACCTGCTCATTTCCTGATCAAAACTACATACTTCTGTGCATTGGACACGCTGTCATTGACTTGAAAGTTACTATTGTTGCTATTGCACATAGACAGATAAGAGCAACTCAAATATGTCTTTAGCATGCTGATCCTTAAGGAATTAGATGCAGCCACTCACTAGACTGCACCAGTGAAAGGAAGAGTATAATACAGCACAGGATAAATCTTGTATACAGCCTGTTTTGATGATTGAAAAATACAAAGCTGTTCCTACCTGTAACAAATACTAAAACTGAAGTATTTAATTGGACTGGTATTTAATTAAATATTTAATATTATTCTGTCAAATCTGCGTATCTGTAGTCATAACCTTAGTCGGCTGTTGTGAGGCTCTTGTACTATCCAGATTCCACAGAAGGAAAAACAGCTGGGGAGGGGAACAGGCTACAGCACGGCCCTGGTTCTGTAATGGGATCTTTATTAAGAATAACTGGGCTGTGGTGATTTACTAAGCCATGTAAATACGCCCATGTCCTGGGAGGCTCGAGGGGCTGGATTTTCATTTGAAGTCAGTCATGGGGCCTGTTTGTTGTTTTGTTGTTGTTTTTTTTCCCCTAGAAAAATTGCATCCAGTGCATCTCAAGTTGGGTGGGGGGGGTGGGGTGGATTTTTTTGTGGTGGTTGTTTGTTTGCTTTTTAAACTAGTGGACTTGGAAAACTCAGAGTGAAATGTTTGGGCTTTGCTTGTGGGTTTTTTTTTTTTAATTGAGATGTCTTAATTTGCGATTTGTACAGTGCTGGAAAAGGGGTTAGATCTTCAGAGTAGATTCCCTGGTATAGCTTAACATGTGCATCACCTCGAACTTGTTAGCTTGGAAACTTTTGCTGTGGGAGATGGTGTACTCTTCAGTAACAATACAATTATTTTAATTTCATATCTTTCTATTTTTCATACTTGAAAATGGCTGTATTTCTGCAGCCTGATATTGCCTAATTGTAGAAGCTTTTTATTTTAGTTGGTCTTTATTTGAATATGCTGGCCCACTTTATGTTAAAGTGTGTATCGGTATCAGACAGTTAATCTTAGAAGTAAACCTTAACCAGAGGTATAAGCTCCCTAGTAAGTATGTGTGGTTTTTCAGTACTTGTGTCTAGTCTAGTGAATGTTGCCAATTTAATAGAGATGCAGTTTGTGATACAGTTTAAAAACAAATAACACCAAAAAAGCGAGAGCGCCAAAATTGCTCTTTTTTCCTTGAGAAAATGTAATGTTTCGGTGAGTGAGTAGTACTGCAAGATGCACGACCACACTAGTTCTTGTGTTGTGTTGCTGGACTAGCTGTTGTAAATCTTTACCTGCTCTTTTACAGTCTGCAGCTCAGTCGGTAAGGTTGTATATCTTTTGTTGGCCTCTGACATGAAGAAAGGGGAAAAACACCAATTTGCTACAGCTGTCTTAACAGACAAAGCATTAGATTGGGGATTCGAGATGTGGATTCCTTTCCGTTCTATCACAGATGTGCTGATTTTTCCAGCCCCTGCTGTTAGGGCTTAAACATCTCGTTTAAAAAAACAATGTGTAATGGTAGTGATCTCTTTAGGGAGGTACTCATGCAAGAACTGTAGGGCATGCAGGATTACTGTGTCTACCATTTAGCACCCCAACTTTCAGTACAAAAAAAAAGGGGGGGGGGGGGGGGGGAGAAACTCTCTTGGGCAGGACACGCCTTTC